CAGAGTGTTGGACTGGATCGGCCTGATCCAACATTGGCTTCTTTTATGTTCTTAAGAGATAGTGTTGTGCCAGTGTAGGATCTGGGAGACCCAGGTTTGAATGCCCACTCTGCCATGGAAGCTCGCTGGGTGACTTTGGGCCAGTCACACACTCAGACTAGCCTTACCTCACAGGGTTGTTGTGAATATCAAATAGAGGAAAGGAGGACGAGATTTAAACCAAGAAAAAAAGATACAAAAATATCATATTAAATAAAAAATTAAATCCAACTGGTCCAAAGAAAAGGAAGTTGGTGATCAGTCTCCATACCTGGAAGACAAAATGGGTGGTAGAAGTTAAAATGTGATTATTGTTAAGCTCACAGCTAGAAGGGAAAAAAATCACTTTAAACAAACATCACGTCATATTTAAAAGGGCATTTTTTCTTCTTCTCCCGACAGCATGGCAAACTCTCCTCTTGACTTCTCAAGAGATCTGGAAGCAGCGGTGTACAGGGAGAAAAATCTTTCTTATAGTTACAGTTGATCTTGGTCTGGTAAGCCCACACTCTGCTTTTAGACATCCCTTTGATATCACCTTCCCATCTTTGAGCATGCCCATTTCTTTAAACAGGTGTGATACAATTGATGGAAAGTGCCACTGAGCATGCACGTAAGTGTTTTCTTTCTGAGAGAGCCACAGTGAATCCCCCCCCATTTAAAAAGTAGGGTTTCTTCTAAGGTAGACGCTAAGGCTTGCACACATACCTAAAAACTAGCACCTCTCTTTTCAGTCATTAAATGCAGTCCAGTGTGATGCAGTGGTTAAGAGTGTGGGGCTAGGAACTGGGAGACCCAGGTTTGAATCTCCATGTTGCCACTGAAGCTCGCTGGCTGACCTTGGGCCAGTCACTTTCTCTTGGCCTAAACCACCTCACAGGGAAGTTGGGAGGATAAAATGGAGGAGGAAACAACAATATTATGTTTAGGGTTCTCACTGGGGAAGAAATGCAGGGTATCAATAGTTGAAGAAATATCCACTACCTTTGACAGCATGCTAAGAACAATGCCTGCTATTTTTCAGCGCGGGCATTGGCCCGACTGATCAGGCTGCAGATTTTAAGTTTTTTGATACCTATTAATACAAGTTCTTGCTTGAGAACTGCAGAGGGCAAACTTACAAGAAGCAGTCCGTCCTGTCCAAGGAAAGGGGAATGCTACTTCTAACAGGATGCTTGCTGCAACACACGCATGCATCCCCTAAAAAGAAAACCGTCTACCACACAGTCCTAAGCAGAGCTACACCCTTCTAAGTCCACTGAAATCAATGGGCTTTGAGCAGTGTAAGTCTGTTTAGGATTGCACTGTCTTTGGGCCCCTGCTAATTTAAACAAATTTAAAGAAATTAATATTTCTTTAACTGGGCAGCAGCTCTACTTTTTATTATTATTTTGACTTTTACCCCGCCCTCCCCGCCAAAGTAGGCTCAGGGCGGCTGAGATGTACGAGGTAGAGCAATACACCTGTACCACCAAACTTGATGCTAGGTCTCCAGACCTGACTGCATTTGATCACTCCCATCATTGCTTGCAAGATACTGTAGTCCCACATCATACCATATAGTCAACGGCACAGTATAAAAGGCCGTGACAGTTTTAACAAAACAACACCAGATTTTCATACCGAAGCAATTATTTCTCCAGTTCTCCAACTTTTTCACCACTGAAAATACTTATTACATTTCGGTTATCTGATTGGCACACAGTTTGAGCTAATCCTGGTGTTACTTTTTTCACCATTGTGGAATTTGGAAAGCAAGGAAGAGACCTGCCCAGAGACTGGGATGGTAGAACTGCCATTTGTGTATGTCAGACCTGCCTTTGGCTCTCCCCTGAACCAGTTGGGTGCTAGTTAGATGTGCGCAATTGCTCTGTTGGCTTTCTGGTTTATTTCTATCTGAAGAGAACAGCAGAACAGACTCACACCCGATCCACCCTTTAGCTCACTTCACTATAGTAAAATGCCATCAGGTTACATGACACTTCTGCTAGAACAGGGGTGGCCAAACTGTGGCTCGGGAGGGCGGCTGGGCAACCTAAATATCATTAGCAAACAAATATCATTGGACAAATAAATATCATGATCAATATCTGCTTTTATCACTTTTGTTATTATTTTTGGCAGTCTCGTTTAATGTTAATCAAAAGCAAATTTGCATATTTACCAGTAAAAACATGTAATATTTGTTCATGTCTTGCGGCTCTCAAACATCTGTTGTTTATTCTATGTGGCTCTTACATCAAGCAAATTTGGCCACCCTTGTGCTAGAAGCAACTTGTGATTTTTTAATTTCATTATGCTACTCATACTCTGCCTTTCTTACTGGGACTCGAGGTGGACTACACAAACCGAACCAATACAATCAACAGGACTGGGAGATTCAATAAACAATGGAATAGGAATTGGTAGCAGAACCAACCAGAAATCTAAAAAAACAGAACTGAAGCAAAGCATAAGTGCTGAGACGACACATTAAATGATGCAAAATTACACAGTAGAATCCAACTCACAGCAAACTATATAAAGGCCCCGGTCATACGGGCCGGATATCGCCGGGGGGGGGGGGGGGGGTGTGAGTTGATGTTAC